ATACTAAGGAAAAAAAAAATGATACGTAAAGCAATTAGTGTAAACGTGTTATTAAATATTAATCATAAACTATTACCTCGGTGATAGCAGAATTTCTACGAAGAAGCAGTCTTATAGATAGTAAGCCAAGAATAAATTTTAAACGTTGTATATTAGAATTACAGAAAGTGCTGAATGTTAGGTATCATTCAACACTTAACTTAGAGTATCATTATAATTTACAGGGAAAAAAAAATAGTTCCATACAACCTAAAGAAGCTCATTTTCAGTGGCATGAAAAGTATTATAACAAAATCAAGGAAAAAGTACCTAAGTTAACGGGTATGGAAGATGTCTCTGTTTGCTTTCAATAAATTTTAAAAGAGAAAATGATATAATTTAAACTGTGTGCCTGTAATGAGGGGGGAATACTCATCAAATGAGCGGTCGGAGTCGAATGTTATGATCATTGCAAAAATCCCTCCTTATACTGCCAAAAAAAAAAAAAAAGAAAAAAAAAAGCCTTTCAAGCCAGTAAGTAGGACTGTTTTCCCATCTCAATATGGAAAAAGCCTTGCAAAATTGGAGAAGACTGGGTAGAAAGGAACAACCACATAATAATTAACCAACAAACAACAGAAGAAAATGGACAATCACCAACATGATTTCATTGAATCATGTATTGCATTTAAGAAAATTGGACAATTACTTCTTTCCCTCTGTCATCTATCTTAAAAAAAAAATCACATTTAAACAAATTTCAATTAAAAAGAAAAAAGAAAAAAAACACTAAATTGAATTGGTAGAGAAACGACGGCGGCCGGAGGCAGAAGCGTAACGGCGGCCTGTGGTCGAGGGCGTGGGCGGCGCTTCAGTTGAGGGCGGTAGAAAATGGGTAGAGAAACGAGAGAGAACACGTAGAGAATCAGATATATTGAACAGTTTGAAAAGAGAAGAGAATAACATGCAGAAGGGAGGGGGTTTTTCACTTGGTTAGGTATGAAAAATAGATGAAATTTAAAGGGTATATTAGTACTTTCAATTAGCTTTTATATTAAAGAAAAAGAAGAAAAGAAAAATAAAATTAGATCAAAGGCAATTTTTTAAAATGAACTTTCAGAGAGGTATTTACCTAAATCTTATATATATATATATATATATTCTTAATAAAATAGGATATCATGTATTAGCACCAATGAGCAATCAGGAAATAGTATACTACAGAGAAATTCAGCAAAAAGAAAAAACGACAGAGAAATTATTAGACTCCAAGGGTGTCATATAGTGCTGATACAGAGAAATTATTAGACTCCGTATAGTGCTATGCTGTCGTCCAAAAGTACATCATAACGCATGAACTTAGTATAATACACATACGGACAAAGAAATTTTAGTAGTTTGAATCGAGAAAATGCTGATTTTGTGAATGATTAAAACAAGAAATATTTTTAAAATGTGAGACCTCACAAGTCTTACAAAGTTAAATAGCAGTACTAATTTGTCGTTACATGTGTGTTGATTACATCCTTGACTATTACTATTATCTTAAGAAGTTATTAGTTTTGTATATTGAGCTTAACAACCATAAACAGGTGAAAAATTTGGTAGATAGGCCACAAACTGTGAGCATGATTATATATAATGTGTCAATCAATGTGAGAAATTTGCAATATGTGTGCTCAAATTTAAGTGTAACTTATTGGGTGTTTTTCATTTTTGAAATCCAGTATAAATTATTTTTCTTTGGGCTTCATTTGAGTTTATTAACAGAACCGGTTATCTGTCAGATAAGAGTTTTGTTTATGGATTGGTGTTTGTAACACCCATGCTTTGCAATATATTATCCATTTCAAAAAGGGAAAAAAAAAAAAAGCAAATGGTGAAGTGAACAAACGGGATGGAAGGAGAAACAAGGGAAACCTTTGCTTTCCTACTGCATTACTTGGAAGCTACAACGGCCTAAGCATCTTAGTGTGCGTTTGGAATTCGTTTCAAAATGATTTTGTTTTCTGTATGAAAATGAAAATGAAAACGTTTTTATTTCTATTTTGGAATTATTTCTGAAAATGCGTTTGGTAGTTTTATTCTGAGATTGTTTTCAGTTTAAAAAAAAACTGAAACTGCGTTTGGTGGTTTAATTTTTAAAAATATGTAATAATATTTTAAATAATAATATATTAAATAAATAATAATTGAATCTCAAATAAACACACTTAATTTACATTTTAACAACATAAAAGAAAATAAATGATAACAAATAAACAAAACAATGAAAGAAAATTTACAAAATTTTTAATTTCTGTCTTTCGATTAATTAATAACTATTTCAGAAAAAAATTTAAATTACAGTTAAATTCATAGTATATTTTAAGAACATTTATAAATGTTTAACATTCTCAAAAAAAAAAAAAATGTGAAAGAAAACAGAGAGAGATGGCATGGGAGATTTCAGTTATCCACCACCCCTCCCCCACCGTTCGTCCGCATCCTCCTAACGCTTCCTACCCTCTGTAATTCCATCACAGACAAGTGGGTCGCGAGACCCACCATTTGTCGCAACTCACCGGCGGGTCTCATGACCCATTGAGAAGTGGGTCGAGACCGATGCAATCCGTGGTTCTCCCTCGCTTTCGTAGCCATTCACGGTGACTTGCGAAGCTCGGCTCAGATCTAGAAGGGAAGGGGGTTGTTGGGTGAACTCTTGGGGCAGATCTGGGCTCCAGAGTTCACTGGTCAAGGGCAGAAAAAAAATCAGAGAAGAGAGAAAATGAAAACGGAGAAAATGAAAACGATCGTAAGTCGTTTTCAGATTTTAGAAAAAGGACAAAAACGTTTTTATTTTCAATTTTGATAAACTGTTACATCAAACGCGTTTTTCCTATCCGTTTTAATTTTTTATCCTCAAAAAACGTGAAAAATATTTTCAAAAACGAAAACAAACAGGCACTTATATTCCACTCAAGCCTACCACTTTATATTCCTACAAGCCAATAATGCCTAATAAAAATAGTAACTGCACTAAGGATATCTTTCTGCCACCCCAAAAAGGAAAAACAAAAGAGAGGAAAAGGTGTTGTTTTGCAACTGGAAAAAAAGATCATGTTTAGGCCTCGTTCATTTTACCGATTTGAGTTTTCAGTTTTATGTTTCTACAGTAAAAAGTTCTCAGAAAATGTCACATCTAATTTTTTTCTGCTACACTGAAAAATTAGGTTTCTACAGTAAAAAGTTCTCAGAAAATGTCACATCTAATTTTTTTCTGCTACACTGAAAAGCTCTCAGAAAATGTTACATCTCAGCTCGAATTGAAAACTCAAATCTACGAAGTGAACGAGACCTTAATTTAATTATCTCTGATCAATCACTTTCCGGATTCAAATTGACTACCCACCGACCACGGAATTTGAAAAACCGTGGGCTTAAGATCCTACTCTTTTCAATGAAGGTATGAAAACCTAAGTCAACAATTTAACTTTTTTTTATTTTTATTTTTATGAGTGTGATGCTAATGAAGTGACTTGCAAAGGCCATTGGGTGGGGGTGATCTAGCAGTAATGGACTATTGTAGTGGATTTGACATTCGGTGGAAATAAGGTCACATACTCCTCATCAAGAGGTGGGTTCATAATAAGTCTTTTAGTGAATATTCTTGTTAGCGTCTACGTAGCCCCACTTGGTAATGTCCAGAGGATATGCAAACGTTGATTGCTCCTTCCCGGACTTTCTTTCAAGGGGGAAAAAAGAAAATAAAAAATTGACTTGCAAAGTTTCATATTCTAGGATTTCATACCAGCACCGTTGAAAATGTGAGATGGGCCCTTTTCCTTTTTGGAGAATTTTGAGATGCTTTGGGACCGAAGATGGGTTCGAATCAAAGAGCCATGTGAACACATGGAGCCAAGGTTTGGTATCATTTGGTGTTTGGTATTGATTTTGTGTTGTTTGTATTCTAGTTTTCTTGTCGACTGAACGTAAAACAATGACACTCCATTGGCTCTTGGCCCAGGGAGTTGGCAGGGTTGGAATGATCAAGAGCTTATAAGTTGATCTTATCTTATCAAAAGATGAGAAGAGATGTTTGGAATCTCATGTGGTTTATCAAGTTGGATTATATCTAATAATCACCACGGTTCAGAAAATACCGCATGTTTTTTAACGCTAAATTTGCTTAAAATCACTTCTTTTTTTTTTCTTTTTTTTTTTTATAACAAAAAGCATATAAAATTGGCAGAATCTTATCCTGTTTGGTCAGGTATTTCATACCTTCGTAAAGTAGTAGCAATAATAAGGGTAATTAACACTGTTAATCTTGAACTTTAAGCACAATAACATTTTAGTCCTGAACCTTTAATTTTAAACTTTCAATTTTTGACAGCAATAACTTCTTTGATTTGGTCAACATACATGCAATTCTACTCAACGTACTCCAGACATAGTTGCATTGGAACATTATCGTAAAGGCATAAAAGTTTTATCTTTACATACATGTTTGTCCAGTTGTAATATATGAATGTTAAGAACCCATATTTCGTATGAAAGACGGCTTTGTTTCAAAGAAATCACATTTGGAGACCAGAAACATAATACCCATTTTCCCATTGTGGATTTTTGAAAGTCCCCACCGTAAACCAACAAAAAACATGTGATTTCTTTGCAATTTGAGATTAAAGAGGATGTTTGGTAGAGGGATTCGTTCCTTGATTCGAATCATGATTCGTGGTTCACTACAGTATTTTCTCTCACAAAAAATTCACGTAAATCGAAAATAGTATGAATCACATGATTTGAATCCTCTAACCAAACGTCCTCTCAAACTTGGAATTTTGGAACGTACAAATTCCAAACAAACATCACGGGCTTTCTTTTGTAGGCATGTCTTTATGCCAAAGGACCAACTTAATAAAGCCGCAAAATATTTAAGGAGGTTAAAATTGAGTTGAAATGATGTAGGACTAACAACATGTATATTTCTTTGTAATTAAAAAAAATTGAAATTTAGAACACTATCAACTTGTCCCCTACATCTTCTTACTTTTATTCAATAAAATTGGATTTGGCAGATAAATTTGACCTAGTAAACTTAAGGAAAATGACTAAATACAAGTAATACAAATTAGGTTGTACAAACCCTTCAAAGCTAGCCGAAAAAGTTATTTTTCCTTGTGTTACCTTGGGGATTTGGTAGAGAGACATCTCCCGCAGGAGACGAGCTTCAAAAGCGAACGCGGTTTTCTTGCTCTAATTTTCAAACGTGAAAGCTGCAGATGTAACATATTTTGTGAGCAACATCTTCAAGCAAATTGCTACAAGACAATCAAAATGTGACTACAGATTGCTATACACAAACTATCCCGCTTCCTAATTTTCAATGTTAAGCTAATATCACTACGACGATAACAAGAGAGAACATCATCAATAAACTATTACAAGAAAGAAAAACAGAAGTTTCAGTAGGGTTCTATTTCCATAGAGAATTGCTAAATGGCATCAGTGGAGCTGAACTGAGCATCTCACAACGTGTTGTGGACCCCAATAATCTGAGATGCAGAGCTCAGCTCTGCAATGCCTTTTTCATTTCCAAACACAAAACTTGCATACAGGAACACGTTCAAGTATATCAAAGTATCTTGTACACAAGTTCAGCATAAATGTTCCTCTAGAAAGGAGTTGGGCATAAAACCAACCACAGTTTGCCCAGGCCAGGCTGAACCATATGTCAGGAACAAGGTTTCGCTTACAGCTTATTTAGGAGATTAAGCTGAATCCGAGGCCCTTGCTCGGTATCATGTGCATGCGCAGAATTGCAAGGCCATGTAAGAAAATTCATTTATATGATCACAATATCACAATCATCAAATTCATTTATAAGATCACAATCATCATGTATTACCTTTCTGCGAGTTACTCTAGACGCTTTCCAGCAAAGCAAACTTCTTGATCGAGGTTCCAGTCTCCTGTACATGAATTAGAGCCAGCTCAATCTAAAGGAAATGGTGACTAGAAACAAGCTTGAATCAATCTAAGGTGCTAAACAAGTATAATCCTTTTTGGCAAAGACTTTAGTTTGTTAAAATTCCACGGTTAGTGAAAATTGTGGAAGACATTCTAATCAGAAGGAAAGTAGTGTTTTTGAAACTTACAAATTCTCCTGTTCAAGCTTTTCAGCAATAGAAACTGCTTTGCGTCTTGACCATCCTATATGCTGCGAACACCCTTCGGACTGTTGAATTACATGGGCAAGGGAGACTTTGCTCCTGACAATGCTCTGACACTGATTTTGTTCACCAAGTTTCTGTTTTTCTGCTAGTGAAGCAGTAGCTGATTTTTTATTGGAAGGTGCTGCCTCAACTCCCAATGTAGCTTTTGAACCTCTTTTACCAGATTCTTCCTGGTTATCAATGCGCTCACCACCCTTCATTTGCCTCGGAGAAGCTTCTATTTCCACAATTTCACTCTTACCCCTTTCACAACTGTTGGAAGGCAAGAGCTGAGCTTCACTGCTGATTCCATTTGCATTTCTAATCTGAGCTGAACCGTCCTTTGAAGCTGGTAACATAAGAGGCACATGCACCGCTGCTTTGGAGTCTTTTTTTGATTCACATCTAATTTCAATTGTCACTGGGGACCCTAGAACTGACTGAAATGCCTGTAATATGTGGCCTCTAAATTTTTCGGCAGTAGATTTAGTCAGATGTGAACTAAACATTAGCTGCACAGTTGGAGCTGTAAGAGGAAAAACAAGTAACAGTCTTTAAAACAAGCCCTTTTTAGTAGGAAAAACTTTTTAGTAGGAAAAATTAAGTTTGTTCTTATAGTGACAAAAGTTGCCCATCAAAGTAAAATGTGTTGACAAAGTGAATAACACATTGGGTCATGAAATTAATTCATCGACAAATGTGTTTAATGGAGTAAAGCAAGCATACCAGCACCAAAGCTGACGGAGATCAACTTTCCTTCTTGATACAAGAATTCTTTAATACCAATATATTGGATTTTGTCAAGCACCTCCAACCAAATTTCTTCGATCCCTTTACGGCTTTTCCCAGAAACCTGATTCCCATTTACTCTAACCGTATCAGCAGAGCGAGCAGATGTCTGTTGGGGAGCCATAGAAGCACCAGTATGTCTTTTTCTATCTAAGCTATTATCCTTCATGAGAGCATTGTTATATAAATCCGATGTTCCTGCTTGTCTAGTGTTTGCTGATAAACCTCTCTCGCTATTTGTCGTATGATCTTGCTCACCGGCTTTCCTGACTGCATTTCTCCCACCCGCATTATTTAAGGCCAAGGGACTTTGGTTAAAACTAGTGTCAGCAGAAGAACTAGGCAGCATATACTGTTGATCAGGTGCGAGTTGGAGCAATGCAGCTGTTAGCCATGTTAGCTTATCATTAGAGGTCCTCAACTGTTTCTCAGCTTCGGATAAAGTTTTAAGAGCTTGTCGCAGTTTCTCCATATCTTCTTTGGACACTACAAAGAAAAACAAAATCAATTCAGAGGTCTAAACCTGATAATGCAAGATGTCAATTGAAGCAGAAACAGAAAATACAGAAAATTGAAGACAACAAATCATGAGGTGGGTAAGCTTAATAGTTTAAACAAGGGTATTAGGCCAACAGCAAAGAATTAAATTCACTTAGATTAGAACTGATAAGCATTGCTAGAACAGATATCCAGGTTAAGAGATGAAATCTGGATGATATCGACATAGATATTACAAACAAAATGGAGTATTTTGGAGTTCATTTTCATTATGCATCATCAGCGAGAATTTTGGACTCACATGGATGGTGCCGAAAGAACTTTCTTCTAGGCCTTTCTCTTGTATAATCATAACTACCAGCAAGTAGATCCGTAATGATTGTAGCAAGTTGTGACATCAAGCCTAATGGCTCAACACCGGTTTCCATTATGACCCTCAAATTCTTCACAGTGTTGACGGTATCTGCAGATAATGCTAAATCAAGAAGATCTACCAATTTTTCATCGGAGATGAGCCCAACCTGAAAAAAAAAAAAAAAAAAAAAAAAAAAAAAAAAAAAAAAAAAAAAAAAAAAACAGGGGAGAAAAAAAAAAAAAAAAAAAAAAAGGTTAAGATTTTCTTTTCATCTCTTAATTTTATTGTCAAGAACACCTTTGCCTTTTATACTTTTTTCACTTTTTCCCTCAGATATGGGGAATAGAAGAAACAAATAAAAAAGCGATGCCGTGAAACACAAAATGCGCACAAATGAATTTGCAAAGAAAAATTAAGTTAAAAACAAATTTCGGCCCCTGATTATTAGAGGTATATGATTATGTGAGGCAAAACTTCAAGGCTCGAACAGACGAGGACAAAAACCACTCGTCTAGGTGCTCGATCAATAACCTTTGATATGGCGCTCCAACATTCAGGGGATAACGTATCGCAGTCATCAAATATGAATACTCTGTAATGTGATGGAAGCTGGGAAATAATCATATTGTCAAGTAGGTCCATAATTCTCTCAAAGTCGAAATTACTTACAGGGCCAACTTCCCTTATATTTCTGCTCTTTCCCATATCATGGGCTATGCAAGAATTGCAAAACCCGCAAGGTTTAGGGTGTTCCAGAGACTGGCAATTTAAAGCTCTAGCAAATATTCGAGCACATGAAGTTTTCCCGGTGCCATGCGGACCATAAAAGACATAAAGAAATCCTACTTTCTTTCTTATGACAGCATTTGAGAGAGCTTGAGCCACCAAATTCTGCCCCACCAGATCTCTGAAGGTTCTTGGCATGTACTTTTGTGTCAGGTTTTGATGCCTACTTCGAGACCGCCCTCTCAACTTACGTTGCTCACCTGATCTAGCTTCAGAAGCAAGGTCAGAATCAACATCATGCTTAAATAAATTATCAGCATAAATACCAAGTTCACCAGAATAGCGACGCACCCACCCACCATTTTCAGTGCTTTCCTGTGATCCAGATGCATCAACTAATAGAGGCAATGCCTCAGCATTTGACTTAGAAGACGAGCTTGAGTTCGCCGATGCCACGGGCATCTCAGCAATATCTCTCCCATGGCCAGAAGGACCCCCTTTCTTTAATCTTGAATCGGACAAACCACAGGAAAAACTCCTTCCAGCCATGTCAAGAAATGTTTTGCCTCTGTGATGAATTCTTGACCAATTCCACGGAATACCACATCCATTTCCAGGAGCCCTTGTGACGTTTTGCTCATCATACTCTTCCTCTCCTTCCATGTGGTACTTGGGGTGCCCTGAACCTTGACCGAGAGTATTAGAGGCTACAGACAATTCATTCTGAACATTTATATCTCTAGAGCCCACAGCAGCAGCACGACGTCTTCTTGTACCTCGAAACTTCCGTCTTTTTGCCCTATTCAATCCACTACAGTAACCCTGGATACCGTCTTCTGGTTCATCAGCAGTTTTCTCCTGCCGAGCTTGTCTTCCATGCCTATGGATGTTTGAAGAAGCCACACCGTCACTATCCATCCGAACATCATTCAACTGTTCCGAAAGGGTCTTCATTGGAACATCTTGAATATGCTGCTTCCCCTTTTGTTTACCCTTCCTACTTTTAGACAGAGAGCTCCCAGAAACAGCATCATTAGACACATCCTCCGAACATCATTCAACTGTTCCGAAAGGGTCTTCATTGGAACATCTTGAAAATGCTGCTTCCCCTTTTGTTTACCCTTCCTACTTTTAGACAGAGAGCTCCCAGAAACAGCATCATTAGACACATCCCTGCGGTGATCGTGATCTACTGGACGCTCCTCATTGTTAACGGAAACATCAACCCTATTACTCTTCCGACTAGACTCTTCTCTCTTAGCTCTTCTACCATCCCTAGCTCCATTCTTGCTACTACTTATCGCCACCATCCCATCATTGCCCTCAGCAATCTCACCGGGAGCAACTTTTGATTTCATCATACTCACTAAAGGCGGAGAATTCCCCGACAGCCTCCTACCTTCCCTTCGACGTTCAACGCCTACCGACCTCCTTCCCTCCCTAACAAAGGGATCATTTTCGCCTTTCTTAGGGAGCAGATCGAGAATCGAAGGCGAATGCCACGATGGAGGACTTGCAGAAGGGTCCCGGAGAGACCGTGATCTCTGAAGGACAATGAGGTCCCTCATAAGCGATCTGTCCGTCAATATGGGGCTCTGCTTATGCATGTGGTTCTTCAAGTGAATGCAATTTGTCAAATGGATATGGTTGCGTAGATGATCACTGATATCACCATTGGCTTCCTTTAGAATTCTATCTCGAACAGCCTTGGTCATGATCAGAAACGTTTTTTTATGTGTCCAATATCTGAATCTCTTGTGAAATATGGAAAAAGATCAAAGTGTATCGCATCTTTTATTGCAAAGGCCCTCCCAAATCTTCCAATTTATGGCCTTTACAAAACAAGAGATTCCCTCAGCTCCAAGAAATTACATCCCCACTAATATTTTCTTCTTTTTTTTTTCTTCAGCAATCAAAGATACCCCATCAACAGAAAACCAAGCTTTTTTTTTCACACTATGACACCCCATTTCCTGTGCAGAATGTTACAAGTAACACCGATTTTTCTCATTCTGCACACCACCATTTAAAAAAAAAAATCAAATAAACATTTCTCAGTCAAAGGCTTGAAACTAACCCACGAAATCAAACAGACGTAACATAATCACACAAAAGAAGTAAGCTTTCAACAGTTGTATTTTCAAAATGCCCATTTGAGTTCTCAATGCAATAGACCATTAGAATCAACCCAACTAACTTAAACTTAAACCCACCCACTGAGCTTGAACATGATAAACCAAAAAAAAAAAAAAACCCATCTTTTAGAAATCTCAGAAGCAAGCAAAACCCAACCTTTTTTACTTTTAGAACCCTAAAAAGCTAAGGTTTTTAACAAAGCGAGATGGAATTAAACAAGACTGAGAAGAAAAAAAAAAGATGTAACATAACAACCAAAATGGTAGACAAAGAAGTAGAAGAAGAAGAAGAAGAAGGACAAAAAAAAAAAAGCAAGGAAAAGAAGAATGGATTCACCTGAAATCAGAAAAAGCGAAATGACCCGTTTCGATCACAAATAAAACAGACCGGATCTCTCTCACCGAGCTTCACATGCAACTTCACGAGAAAAGAACTTCCTTCCAAAGAAAACGATACACACTCTGAAGAATTAGAGAGAGAAAGTTTAGCAGAAAGAGAGTAAGAAAAGGAGTGTTTAGAGAGAGAAAGGGGGGTGAGGGCGAGATCTGTTACAGACAGACTCATCACAGTCGAAGAGAGGGAGAGAGAGAGAGAGGGACTGGAAACAGAGGACAGATTTGCCAATAAAGCGGTGTATCCGTTTGTTTGAGCATGCAAATAGTTCATTATTTTATTCTTCTTCTTCCTCTTCAATTTCTTTATTTATTGTTCAATTCTTTTTTTTTTTTTTACTTTTTAGTTATTTATTACCATTACCTTTCTTGACTTGATAACAGAATTCAATATATAGTTGCCCCAAAAAGATAAATCTAAAATAGGAAATTGAAATTTTTGAATCTGGTGGGGACTAACGCCTACAATGTCCGTTCCGTTGAAATTGATTATTTTTTTTTTCCTTTTTCTTTTCATTTTTTTGTGTACTTTTATTTATTTCATTAATTTAAATTTTTAATTTTAATTTTATTATAGTTAAAAATTCTTATAAAAAATTACATTTAATTTTTTCTACTATAATAAAATTTTTTATATAAAATCACATATCAATTTGAATTAAAAATTTAAATTCTGTAAACTAAACATGCCTCAATTTTGCTGAATAAAAAGGCAAAAGCTGTATTAATTCACACAGACCACAGTGAAAAGGGGATCATTCCAAGAGTTAAACAAGTTTTCCATATAGTATAGAAAGTGATTTAAAAAAATCATACTATTCAATGTGCATTCCAGCTGGACAATTTTCATATTCTTAAACCGAAGTACTGTTACATTTTGTTTTTTTTGCTAAATAAAAGTACTGTTACATGGATGCCTATGTTCTGTTTTTTCTTTTCTAACTAGTGACGACAATTAAAAGCGTGCTTACTAAATCGTAAAAATTGTTAATGGTTTTGTAATGATATTATGAAGGAAAAATAAAGTGATAACAATTAAGATTATTGATTAATTTTTTCAAGTGTTTATTTAACTATTATATGATATATTAAGAAATAATAACATTTTTATTATAATATTTATTAAAATTAGGAAATAACAATATTATTAATGTAATCAATAAAAGGTCTTTTTACACAATTAAATGATCAAGGATTTTAAGTATGGATAAGTAAATTTGACATTTATTCTTTTAAATGAAAGGATTGACATTCCATTTTCGCATTCTTTTTAGTATGTGGGTCAGTAAACACCTTATTATATAAGAAATAGAATCATTATTCACTTTCTTTTTCCTTTCGTTGCAAAATAAATGCATAGGGGATTTTTTAGTTGTTTTTAAGAAGTTACAGTATGTGAGGGTGTTTGGTAAATTCTTTTTTATTTAACAAATTCTAAAAACTGTTGCCAAACAACAAAATTTGAAAATCAGGTCATGAATGCTTTTTACATAACTGCTTCTGCTATCATTGTTAAAATTTCCTAAAATAATCTTAATAATAAAACTTAATTATCTATCTATCAATTTTTTATACCTAATTTAAAAAATATACACTCTTAAATATGTATTTAAAAATTAAAAATATTTAATAAACATACTACGTTAAATGTTTAAAAATAACAACAATAAATTATAAATATTATTAAACATTTTAAATGTTAATTTAAAATCGCATTTTTTTAGTATTTGGCGTACAATATTATGAAATTGACCTCGAAATTAGAAATAAAATTATCTATAAATATATATGCTAAAGTATATCTATTTTAATCATTATATATTTTTACAATAATTTTATACATAATTTACCAAACACTTAAATTTTTACTTCTAGTATTCATAGCAGTTTTGAAAAAAAAAAAAATACATTTACATGTTTTTGGTCGCATCAAGTTTTGATTAACAGCGCAGCAACAACAAAAAAATTTTAACAACACACCAATGCCAAACATGCCCTTAATAGAATGTGACCTTATCTTTGATTGTTAATTTCATATTGCAAACCCTATTTATTGTTAACTAGTTGAAATTGTGCATGTATGGACGCGAGATTCTATAGGTTAAAATGAGAAACATATTTATTAGGGTCTCATTTGGAAAAATTATAAAAAATGTATAATAGGATAAAAAATATAAGAATGAAAAAAAAATAGGAAGATGAAAAAAGAAAAAGAGAGAGGAAAAAAGAAATGAAAATAAAAAAAAAACTCACTTACGAAATGTTTTATTAGGTGAACTGTCTTAAAAAAATTAAGACAGGGATATGTACGAGAAGAAATTATTTAAACAAAGAATTAAAGAGAATTATATTTATGAGGACAAATTTGTAGAGGAAAAAAGTGTATAACAGGGTAAAAAATATAAGAATGTAAAAATGGTAGACAAAAAAATAAAAGAAGGAAGAGAGGAAAAATGCAGGAGAAAATTTAAGATAAGAAAAGAAAAGAAAGAAATGGAAATTAATTAAAAAGAAAAAAGAAATCGAAACGGAAGTAATGAAAAACGAAAAGAAAAATATGATAGGGTAAAAAAGATAAGAATGTAAAAAGAATAGATAAAAAAACAAAAGAAAGAAAAGGGAAAAATAGAGGAAAGTTAAAAAAAAAAAAAAAGAAGAAGAAAGTGCCAAAAAGAGAGTTATGGAAAGTATAAAAAAAAAATACCTGGGAAAGTAAGAAAAGAGAAAGAAAAAAAAAAGAAAGAAACATCAAAAGGGCGACAACGTATCCGAAAAAAAAAAGAAAAAAAATTGGTAGGTTGTTTAGTTGTTAGATTCATGTCTGATTCGAATCATAGTTCGTGGTTCGTTACATTATTTTCTCTCACAAAAAACACACGTAAATTGAAAATAGTTCTGAATCCATCAATCAAATGTCCACTGAATTGCGCCTTTAAATTTAGGTAAAATGTGCGGTGCTAGATGCTGCTCGTGCCCTACATTATTCTTAGAACAAGCATTGTCATGTGCAAATGTGCAGTTGTCTCTTATAAGGTTCGTTATTATTATTTTTTCTTTTCTTTTCTTGCTGCTGAGAATGTCTCTTGTAGTTATGGCTTCGCATTTCCTTCTGTCTGCTAATAGTACTTCATGCCGATACAAACGGATAGATCTTATCATCACAAAAGTAATACAATATGGTTAACTTATGCAGATCAATTTTACGATGAAAATAAATTATTTTAGCCGCTGAATTTTTTTTAATTAAAAGTTGACATTTTATTTTCAACAACTAAGATCGTTTCTTTTTCATATACAGTAGTTAGTTCGATTTAATATTGCTTAATAACAGTAGCTAATTTTACAATTACTCAAACTAGTTTAGAAGAGTATGCCTTTTTTTTTTTTTCTGGAAATATAAAAGGATGTGCCTAATACCTTTATAGCTAATTTTGAGCGTTCTAAAATCATAATAGTCATAATTACTTGCTTGGCATGAAATTTTCAATAAGCTACTCAAGCATGAATTTTGATTTAGCATCATTTTCCACAACTCAATGAAAGTAGTGAGAACATATGCATGACAAAAAGAAGAAAAACCCAGCAATAGGACAAAAAGAAGTATGACTTTTCTTTGAAACTCAGCAAAAATGTGTCTTTCCAATATATTCCTACTTGGCTACGAAATTGGCACATGATAGAAATGATATGAAATTTGAAAAATTGTTGACTTTTTTCTAATGAAGAAAGAGCAATGTCAATTAAGCTTGATGGCACGTTTGTTGGAAAAATACTAACGATATGATAATATATATGTTGAATATGATCTCATGCATGTCCCCTTCTGCTTGATCTTTGTCTTGTTCGTATTTTCTTTTTCCTCTCTCTCTTCTTTAAATATATTAATCTGATTAAGTGTTAAAAATTGAAGGTCCCGTTCAATTGGCTCTTTTGAGTTGAGAATTGAATTAAAAAGTGAATTCATGAGATAAAAACACCATAACAGAAAAAGTTAAATTTAAATTTTTATAAGAGAAAAAACCATAACAAAAAATTTAAATTGTGATTCAAATGATGAAACGACGAAGTCTTAAACAATTAAGATAAGCAAATATTGACTAGTTTATTTGGTTGAAATTATATGATCTCTTAATTTTTTTTTTAATATTGACTAGTTTATTTGGTTGAAATTATATGATCTCTTAATTTTTTTAAAAAAAAAAAACTTATCTGTCTATAAATTTAGAAGATTTTTATAATAAAACATGAAAAAATAAATTACTAGTTGGTGTCTTGTTTAACTATTAGATATATATTAGAAACAGTTTATTTTTTATATTTTTTTAATTTGATGTTATTTTGATCACGATTACAAGTATACACTACTGGTAAGAAATTTAAATGTAGGAGTTAGACCCATAAATTTCACATAAAATTATGATTGTTCTCTAGAAAACACATATCTCAAAAAATTAAAATTTATGTGGCGTTATTGTTACTATTACTATTACTATTACCTTTGTTGCACCTTGCAAGAAGATAAATAAGGAAAAGAAGCTGACTCAACCGTAAAAAGTAACAACATATATCAATTCTTGTCCTCTTGGTTAGGAGGCATCATGTACTTGCCTTAAGACCCCATTCCGTTCACATCTCTTTAGTCATATTCCCCGATGTCACCCGTTGAATTTCAGTCTCTATCATATTATATATTCACTACAACATGTTGGGTAGGTCGGACAAATTTACACGAATTATTGGATGACAAAAATTTCTCCACTTGACAAACACGCTTTAAACTATCACTTTAAACTATCATATATATATATATATATATATTGGATTCTCTTAGTCTTTTAGTTGATAAGAGTGATGAAGAGTAAAAATGATGAAGAAAATTATAGTAATTTGTTATGTTATTTAATAGAAGCAAGAGTGTTGATAGATCATAGTTAACTCACAATTAACCCGCAGTGCTCCAATTTAAAATCATCCTGCAAGTGCTGCCAATGACCCATGACCTTTGATTACTTTAAATTTACAATTTATGCACTAAAGTTACATAAAACAATATAAAACAGATATATCCTCAAAATTAAATTTCATACTATAAAAACTA